TAGTTTCCGAATACGGCCAAAACATTTTGGCCCTGTTCTTACATGGTACTGTTAAAGGCAGACACACGTTCGTTCACACACACACACACACATATACACACACACACACACACATATATATATATATATATATATATATATATATATCGAAAATTTATTGGACGTTTTTTAAACATTGTTCATGAGTGATGGTGTGTCCATTTCCACAAAAAGTGAATGTTGGCAACTTTATAACAGCTTCTGAATCCCTGTCCAAAATCCACTCTCATTCATGTGCTTCTTCTAAGCCTTTTTCTGAATAGATAACTTGCCAATCACATACCCACGACCTGTGATCATCTATACTAATCCAATGAATTATAGTTAATCCACAAACATCCCTGTGCAACCTCTTTGCCCTCTAATCCCAACTAGTCTTTTAGTCTTCTAGCTCATAAGCGAGTTATACATGCATATCTTGTGCTGAGGTATCCGTGGCTCTCAGCTTGGATGTCCAGAATAATTTCTCTGGATACCAAGCCGTGAATTAGTTGTATTTTTTCTGATACTTGTGTGTTTATCTTGATGATTTTTTTTAATAGGAGTAGATAGGCTTTCCTATCGCCCGGTCAATACTCCTCTTGAAGAGGTGTAGAGGCTTAACCCTTGCTTCCGGTTTTGAAAGGTTCCCGAATCCTTTCCTTTTCTCTGGCCTTAACAGAGGTGCTGTCATGAATCCCTGATGATGTGGATGGTTTTTTGGCAACGTCTCTTCGTACTGAGGGTATCGGGTTGGCAGTTTTCTGGTTGCTGTTCTCGGCTGGAAGTTGGGAGCCCGAGGTCTTGCGTAGCGTCTTAAGAGGCTGCTCTGATAAACAGTTGCATAGTATCTGGGTCCTTGTAGTGCCTTTTCGTGCATGGACGGGTGTCCCTGCATGCACCTCCATTTTTCTCCAAACTATAGAAATACGGCCTCGCTGATTCTCGCTTTCCAACCTGTTCGAAAACCTCCGCTGTCGTCCCTGATTTTAAGAACGCTGGATACCATTCTGACCCCACCAACCGCCATACTAGTCTCCCACCACTCTTTGGCAAGTATTCAATGCCGAAGTGGTTAAGCATCTTACCTCCCATAATATTTTCTTTCACAAAAAATATTTTTCCGCTTTGCCCGGTCCACCGCTGTTGTGCTTACGGCCATAAGTGTATATGCATATCAAGCTCTTGATAATAACGGCGAATCTCGAGTTGTGGCTCTAGATATCTCTTGGGGCGTTTGACAGGGTTTGGCATGCTGGCCTTCTACGTAAGCTTCAGGGCTACGGTATTACAGGACGATTATGTGATTTAATCTAATAATTCTTATCAAATAGGAAATGAAGGTGGTCCAGAACGGGCTCTCTTCCAATTTCTTTCATACGAAATCTGGTGTTCCACAAGTATCTATCTTGGTTCCAACACTGTTTCATCAGTTCTCAAGTAGGCATCTACGCAGACGACACTGCCATTTACTCCTGTCTCAATAGTAAATCCGGCATTGCTGACAAAGTTAACCTGGGCGTTGGGCTCGAAAACGACTTCCAATCACTGTTTGATTGGGGCAGGAAATAGCTTGTAAATTTTAATGCCTCCAAAACTGCTCACATTTAACGACCATAGCAAAACTTCTCTGCCACCTATCAGCCCCTATAATGGCTATTTTTATAGTGATTTTATGGTATGATTATGTTATAATTTTCGAATAAATTATATTTTCTCTACTCTGTATTGAGCACTCTTATATTAATAGTATTTTTGGTTATTGGAATTTATTCCGTATATACCGATCCTATACATGGGTATATATATATATATATATATATATATATATATATATATATATATATATATATATATATATATATTTCCAAGAGGATAGAATCCAGGTAGAATTCAATGTCCAGGACAGAGTAATAATATAATAAAATAAAGCTCAAACACTAATATTCCATGGTTATAATTTACTACATAGGAATAAATTATAACCATGGAAAATTTTTGTTTGAGCTTATTATTATTATATATATATATATATATTACATATCTATCTATCTATCTATATATATATATATATTACAGACATATATATATATATATTACATATATATATATATAGATAGATATATATATATATATACATACATATATATATATATAATATATATATATATATATATATATATATATATATATATATATATATATATATATATATATATATATATATATATATATATATATATATATATATATATATATATATATGTATATATATATATATTTCGTTTAATGCATATTTGGGCAGCAACCTTTTTTTAAAATATCTGTCGTTAAATATGACGGACAAGGAAAATTTCATTAATTTCATATCATTTTTTTCAGAGTTCTTACAGTTTTCCGATTGTTGGGAATCAGCGAGTGCAAATATTGTACATACCGTCCTTTGTCCCAAGCGCTTTCGGTCACTTCTTTATTTGCAAGGGGATGAGTGCGCGTGTGTGTGTGAGAGAGAGAGAGAGATTGCAGAGAGAGACAGAGAGTGCAGAGAGAGAGAGATTTCAGAGAGAGGGAGATTTCAGAGAGAGAGAGAGAGAGAGAACTAGTTTGTTGCTAACGGACTTACCCAAGATCGATGTAATTGAAGGAAAAATGTTGCTTTTTGCTGTGCGACGGTTGCAGGAACAAGATAGGCCAGGCAAGGTAGACAAGATAGAAAGAGATAGAAAAAGTAAGGAATTAGAAAAAGAAACCTTTCTTCTTTGAAATCTTCAGTTTCTCTTTTTGTGCTTTTTAATGTTATTTTGCTTATTTATGTCTTTATTCCAAAAAGATTTTCAAAATAACTCCTTGAGAATAAAAAAATGACTCCTCTTTGTTACAATGTTAATTGATTTTAGAACTGAAGAAAAGCTATTTTTCCTCAGATCTTAATTTAAAACGACAGTCTAGAAAGGACAATAGTTATTTTTGAATTGCCCACAAGAATTTATGCACTCACAATGAGTAAATAATGTCAGTATAAACGTTAGATGAATGATAATACAGATTGTGCAAGACAGTGTGTACATATGTCAAAAACAATGACATCAGTGCATACGACATGATGCGCATTTTTCAAGCTGTTTCCCTAAATAACATTTTATAAATTCACGAAGGCTCACTGTTGCCTGAATACTCTTCTTATAAAAAAAATGGCTTCATTGTTAACGCATGATGGAGTGATTTAGCTGACCACTCAACTAATGGTAATGATAATAGTAATATTAGATGTTAATCTACGAGGATACATTTGGTAATTATTATCGGAGTAGCCATTACTGTTTTCGGTTGAAATTTATAAAATCTTTCTCTTAAAACACATCTTCTTTAGGAAATGAGATCTCTCAAGTCCAGTAGCTCTTATTGCTCTTTCCAGTATACATGCTGGTTTCTTTCCATCCCTTCTATATGAAGTGGTCTGGAAAGCTGAAATCTAGATTATGCCACTATTTTCTCATCGGGTTACATGCCCTATCCATTTTAGTAGTTGCCAAGGAAAAAAACAATCGCCGCGCTGCCTGGCATGTTTGAGTCGATATTACACCGACTCCACATGTTATTGCCACAGAAATAGAATTCCTGAGACAGGACGCCTTCTATTACAAACTAGCAGTAGAGCCCGACGTTGCCCGGGGATGTAACAGTAAGAGATAGATCAAGTATGGACCATCATAAAGACTGAAAAATAAAATTGACAAAGATTATTGTTTAAGGTTGACAGACACGCATGTCTTAATTAGTTTTTTTTTTTTTTTTTTTACGAATTGGTCAAAACTAAACTCAAACAAAAACATTGTTTTCAATCGTTATGAGTCTACCGATTGAATAAAATTTTATTATAAACAATTGTCTTGTAAATGGAATTTTTAAAGCATTCTGAATGTAAAAATAAAGAAGAAAGTGTGCAAGACAATAAGAAACACTACCTGCCAAAAAAAGGTTTTGTTGAAATCGGTTGAAAAATGTAGGAAATCCGATCCCATATATAAACGAACACAAACACACACAAACAACCTGGGTTTTATAATAAGTATAACTCGATATGAGTTGTCCCCCTTCATTCTGGCGACTTAATCGTGTTTTCAAATTGATTTCGTGCAAAAACAATTGTGTTTTCCAATTTTTGGCGCTGTCAGAACCACCGCAAGGTAATTTTACGTAGTCCCGTGAAGTTTTGTCGAAATCGGTTGAAAAATGTAGGAAATCCGATCCAATATATAAGCGAACAGACACACACACAACCTGGGTTTTATAATAAGTATGATGATGAGAAAACAGGTACTACACATTTTATCCCAGCCAAAAATTCGAGCAATTAACACGTGGTTAATTTTTACGGCCTTCTAAAAAAATTATATAGTGTAGCAAGTTTGGAGCACCCAGTGAAGGTCGAATGTTTTTATATGTTGATTTTCTGATCAAAGCTTAGATGTGGCACAGGGCTGAAAGTAGGGAACACACAGTGAGGTTCGAAGATACACACACACACACACACACACACACATATATATATATATATATATATATATATATATATATATAACTTGCATAACAAAAATACTTATACTTAGAATACGAATAAGACAATTCAAATTTCTCAGTAACATGATATGAAATGAGGTCTTGGAGAATTTGACACTCACAGGGCATAATGAAGGCAAAAGCGACTGAGACAGTCAGGTAGTAATCTACCTTGCGAGCTTGTGCAAATGGATGTTAGAACTGAGGGATATTAAGCGAAGGAATATTTCCGAGAGTTAAACAATAGAAAATTGTGGGGACGCCTGATCTTCCACGTCCTGGAATGGTACAGCACAAAAAATAAAACAATCCGATTGAAATATTGCTTCCATAACTAAAATGCAAATTTAGTGGAATTAATTTACAATCTTTTTACCACTTAGTGATTTGGAAGTATCAGAAATTTATTTATAGAATATTCACTACTCATGACTAATAGATAGATAGATAGATAGATAGATAGATAGATAGATAGATAGATAGATAGAAATACCGGATGTAACAGCAAAATTATTCAAATCGTGTAACACTAAAACTGTCCCATCGTTAGATTAATATTTCAACCGTTGTATCTTAGAAATGATTAAAGAAATCTTACTGGAATTCTCTGAGGTTATTACACACTGATGGGCTCTGCTTTGAACAATAAGAATGTATTTAGCTTGAAATGTTCATCCCTCTTTCTGTTGTGAGCTTCTGATCTAGATTTCCTCTTTACAGTTCTCTCATTTTTAAATTTATTCAACAATCTCTTGATGGTTCTGGAATGGACATTGAAGATAGAAGCCAGAGTATGAATATATGCACCATTACTGATGGCCTGAATGATCTTTTTGGTCTCACCATTGCTCAGTTGGGAATATATAGTAAGGCTGATCTCTTTTTAGCTTAATAACTCTCAGGGGTTTTCAATGATTCTTACACAAATTGGTCTCAATCTTATCTGAAATCCTAGAAAAAGAAACTCAATTAATTTAATGTTTTTTGATATTAAATATTTTATGGGATGGGCAATTATCCCACACTGTTACACGATTTGGACAATTCTGCTGTTACACCAGTTATATATAAAACGTGGCATGGTGGAGTAAAATTTAGGTGATCGGTTGACGAGTCAGAGAGCTGTGTCCACTGCATTCAATTACGCGCCATATATATATATATATATATATATATATATATATATATATATATATATATAGTTTATGCAAAACTAGGTAATCCGCATGGGTAGACCCAAGGAGGATGATATCCGGAGAGCACAATGTAAAATTCAGAGCCGATATGTTTGAATAAAAACAGACCACTTTAAGGTTCCATGTAATAAGTTATTTCACCATAACCCCTTTAACAGGGCTCTGGATCATCAGACTTTACTTCCAAAAGTTGAAATGGAAAATGAAAAGAAATTTACACGTTTTTGACGGACTGCATCAAGCATATGTAAAATTAACGAAGTGAGGAAGTGAGGTGGGAGAGAAGAGAAGATATGAGTGGGTTAGATGTACCATTTCAATTCCTTATTCTTAACCCCACTGTGTGTCGGCTAGACGTCGCTTAAACTTAACGTGTATTGTCTCTCGATATAGATGGGTAAGGAGTGAGGGAGAAGACCGACATTAAAGGGAGAAGCTACAACAAACCCTAATAAATTACATTCCACGAGGGCAGGTTTCATTCAAATTCTTAGACACTTATTTCGCATTACTTTAAAGGGCATATTTTGGAGGATAAGGTTTGATATAAATCTAAATGTCTAAACAATCTACGAAGAATTTAATTTGAAGTTCGTTGGAGTTTGGGGTATTTTCTATGAAACAGTCGATTGGAAAAACTCATAGAGAGTACATTGAAAAAGTAATCCATTTTATATTTAGTAATTTTTTTTTATTTTTCTAAACTTGTATCTTAATTTGACATCTATTCGTTTGATTTTTGTTCATCGATTAAACTCGTGAATTTTTTTAATATACCTACATAATTATCTAAGGTTCTTCCAATTTAAATAACTTTATCGTCAATACTAATTGTTAAAGGGTAGTATATTTCAATTTAAATTAAATTACCAATTTAAACTTTACCTCCGTGTTATTTAAACTCACTTCCAATTGGAGAATATTAGAGAAGAAATTTAGATAAAATATTACTAGGAGAAAATTAGGTCCTTCTTTTACAATCTTTTATATATCCATACACATATACACTTCTACACATGTCCGAACCCCTATCTAGATCCACATACCTATATCATATATATATATATATATATATATATATATATATATATATATTAGCAGGTTTTGAAATGTTCACGAGCATTCCAAGAACAAATGCTACCAAAATACTGTTAGATAACATTTTGTGATGTGTCTTCCCACATACACGCGCATGCACACCCACCCACACACCCATACACACCCACACACATATATATGTATATATGGAGAGATATAGAAAGGGAGAGAGAGAGAGGATGCAGACATTGGACAAATAGAAATAGAGATATGAACAGACTGAGATGTACATTCCACACAAAGTGTACATTTGATATTGAAAAAAGAAAGAAATCGTGTAAGATATTCAAACAAATAGATTAACTTTTGATCAGACTCTAAATATATGTATTAATATACGAATGGCATAAAAGAGTTCGATATAAAGTCAAATCAGCATCAGTTAGATTAGCAGTCAGTTCGCTGAGAAACTGATGGATATCTATATTACTATAAAACTCTGTGAACTTTCTTTGCATGTGTGTTTGCCAGAAGTCATATATAGAGTGTGGGGAAAGAAAGATCTAAATTTATTATCGTGTAGGAAGTGGGAGAAGGAAATGGAAAACACACGGAATCCTGCCCCAAACAAGATACGCACAGCTGTCATCAAGGTCCACGCCGCTCTCACTTGTGAACTTCGAGACCTCATGCTAAAAGCGACAGCGCTGACAAACTTCAAAGAGATCGCTTCACATTACGGTAACACCGTCAACAGTAAGAAACAAATTCTATCTCTTGTATGATTTGAAAATACGATTTGTTTATACAGTAAGTATTTTTACTTCAACTTTCTTCAAACTTTTCGGAGATTTGTTAATGTTGAAAGCAATTTCAATGTTTTATAATTTGAACCTTCAGTGACTCAACGTTTCACGGGTACTATACTTTAAAGGAGAAAAAATTATTACAAATAAAATTGTTTTGTAAATAAATATAAAGCGTAATAAAATGTATTGTATGTTTCCTAAACTATCTGCATATAATTGTATTTTTAAAATATCTCTACTTTAACAATCTCTTCATGAAACTAAATGTAAACAGTAAACACAACAAACTTAGCCCAACGGGTCACGCGTGGAGTAGTTATTTATTTAAATAACAGGTTTAAAATTTTCCAGATCGGGCAGCATTTAGGCTAGCTTCTGTAGAGGTTATTGTTTGGGCCTTCATCACAATAGGTAAGGCGGAGTAGATAATTCTTCTGCCATCACATAATTTAAGGACAATTTAATGTACATAGGTCCTTATTTTCCGTACAAACCATTATTTTTATTTCATGTCCGACTTTCGCTGGATTTCGCAATTAATTTCGACTATTCCCAAATTTATTTCCAAGTTATAAAAAATGTTTTCGTACAAAAACATTTGTCGCAAAAAATCACGTAAAAAATCTACGAAAACAATCGCATTAATGAAAACTTTGAAATTCCAAAATTTCAGGAATGCTGGTTCGAATCCGGTCCGGAATATTTTTAATTCGCTCATGGAATCGGTCTGCTTCCAAAATAGTATATGTTGGACTGCGGCCTCTAAGAGTAACATTGAAAATATGGATAATTTTATTTTGAAACACTGTAATTTGAGAAGAGTATTTTTTTCATTTGAACATGAGCCATTTTAAGTTAAAGAGTTGTGTCCCTTTAATTGTTTTTATCAGTAAAAGCCAAGATGACGGAATCCGAAAAAAATCGCATTAATGAAAACCTAGGAATCCCAAATTTCCGGAATGCGGATCCGGATCCGGCCAGGAATATTTGTAATTTCCTTACGGAGTCAGCCTGATTGCAAAATGCCAGGACATGTTGGGCTACATCCCCTAGAAGTAAAGTTGAAAAAATTGATACACTGACATTCGCATTTATTATATAGAAGAAACCTTGCACACCGACATAATATAATGTCTTGTCAGACTAAATTAATTACGTGAGTTCAATCTTCACTAGGTGCTCCATGCTTGTGGCTTTGTGCCACATCTAAGCTATGCTTAGTAACATTATTTACATGCGGACAATTGTCTTCATCTTTGTTGTTTTTATCAGGTTTCGGTCATTGTGCCATCCAGCTTTCATCAGATTATATCGACCCGGCTACCCTACATGGAATTTTGAACTGAACCCGTTATTTAATATACGGAGCGAGATTAGTCTCCTTCTGCTGACCATGTCTAGGGATATCTCATCTTGTTGTTATTTTTAGTATTACTCCGTACGTCCACCCCCTTTCTATTGAGCCGAAGTACTATATACATAGGGATTATCTCACAATTAAATCCCCATCAAACGAGCAAAGGTTTTAACCTAGTAGCCAATTTTCCCATAGTACAAATCTGCGTGGAGAAATTGGAGTCTTAAACCTGACCTTCCTGCAATTACTGCTTCTAATTGTCATGCGTGACTGTAAGCACTGAAGCGTCTATTTTCTAACAGTTCCTTCTGTAATTCTTTATTAGCGGCTCCCATGTCGTATTTATTTCTATGCTGGGCCTACTAAGGGGATCCAATAGCCTAGAATAGACATCTATATCTTGAATGTTCATGCTAAAATAATATTTTAATAAAAACAATCACTTGAAATTTATATTGTAACGTAACAATTAATCTTGTCTTACTTCTGAGTATAGAAATCAATGTATGTTGTATATAAATGATTCTATGTTAATGTTTATGCTGTTAAATATTTGGCCGAACAGTAAGCACAGAGATCGCCAGTCTAATGATCTTACCATCATTAAATCCTACTCGTTATGAAAACCAACTGAATATAATTTTTTTCTGGCTGACACGAGACGTTCTGTTTTGGTGCCAACTCGGCTTTTGTGTGTGTGTGTGTGTGTGTTGCCCCACGTCTTTATTTTATAGCTTAACTCAATAGAATAATGGTCACTAATTAACCGGTGCCATCGAATAGTCTGGAGTAGAAGAAAACATTTAATTAGGCCAATACAAATCGTAAAGTACATGTCAACCTACTGAAAATATGCGCAAGTATTATTTGTGGCTGCTTGTGTGGGACGTAATGTTCATACGGCTTTGTGGCGCGTACACGTGTGTGCTGCGCATGCGTGGATATGTGCAAAATTATCAACATTGTTATTTTCTGTTAATTTTCTTAGCTCTGCAAAGGAATTGAATGACAGAATTCGCATACATATAAATATGGAACACGTCAGTAATATAAAAACACAGAGCAGCAACTTTTTGTGTACATTTGAAAGATTCTATGAATTCTCCATGGATCTCGTCTCAGTAAAGAT